TTCGTTCTGCTGTGCATGGGGTCGCTATGAGTCGGTTCCGACTCGATGGCACCTGACAACAACAATAAGCAGAATGTTTCTGTGCCACCTACTGGCCTCTTGTTTTCACAGCTGCCTGAGAAATTTCAATATGCTCCTACTTTGTCTGTCTGCACCAATAACCAGTCTTTCTCTTCTTATTGTTTCCCCTCTTCTCTACCACATGTGTCTGTTTAGCAGCTTGTCCTAGTGAGAGTTAGTTCACGACTGGCCATGTTGACTTTGCAGATTTGGAGCAGGGTCTGCCCAGCCAGGTTATTGTGGATAGCTCTTCCAGAGGCTTTCAACCTTGGTTTCCACCTCTGAGCAGCTCAGACTGCCTGGAAAGTGGGAACTTCTCTGGGGGCATATGCTGGTGGAGACTGGCCTTGCTTCTGGTCACCAGGGGAACCAGAGAAGGGGAAAAAGAATCACAACTTTGTCTCTGTGAGCCACAGGCCTGTTTCTGCAATGCAAATATACTTTCTTGTCTCTAAAGCCACTCACAAGTTTTCAAGATGGCTATGGTGGACCTCATCAGCCATCACAGCTCTGAAGTCACCTTCTCTCTTGTTGCATCTGTTCAACTCTCTCTCCCAGTAAGTATTCAATCCATTTTCTATCCCTTCCACTGAAGCTCAGTGTTCCAGGACCATCCTCTGCATCTGTCTTACCCAGTGTTTCATATCCTTGCTGCAGAGTATCCCTGCAGCCTTTCTGCCTAGTCCACCATCTTGCCCCACTTCCCAAGTCAATTTCATTTCTTGGCTCTAGCTTCTGGAAGTTTAAGTTAACCGTGTTCTCTAAGTACAAGAAACAGGGCTACTAAGCAGTTTGGAGCCAGGTGAATGATGTTTAGTCCACACAGCCAGTCAGAGTAGTTGAAATCCTTATTTGAGATTGCATGGAAATACAGGACAGTCACTCTCAGTCTCTTCCTGTGCTACACTAGGCAGCCTTGTGGCAAGGATCTCTTCTGCATTGACAGAACTGAATTGGGATTTTATCTGTAGATCACTTTGGATAGTGTTGGCCTTTGCACAATGTTAAATCTTCTTATTCACTAGCATGGCATATCCTTCTACTTATGTCAGTCTCTCTTGATTTTTTGTAGTAGTGTTTTGTAGTTTTCTTTGTATAAGATTTCAGTTTCTCTGGATAGAATTCTCTATACGTTTTTCATCTTTTAGGTGGTTTTTGTAAGTAATCCACCACTCATTTGTCAATCTGTGGTACTGTGTGGCTTGTGTGTTGCTGTAGTGCTAGAATCTATGCCACTAGTTATTCAAATACCAGAAGGGTCACCAATGATGGACAGGTCACAACAGAGTTTCCAGACAGACTAGGAAGAAGAAAGAAGTAGTCTAGTTCTGTAAAAATTAGCCACTGAACAGTGGCAGAACACTGTCTGATATAGTGCCTGAAGATGATCTTCTAAGGTTGGAAGGTACTCAGAATGTGACTGGGGAAGAGCTACCTCCTTAAAGTACAGTTGAACAATGACATGGATTGTACAAAACAATCAATACCTTCATTTTCTGATATGGCATGACTTAAAATGAGAAGAATCAGCTATAAACATCCATTAATAATTGATACACGGAATGTACGAAGGGTGAATGTAGATATACTGGTGGTTGTCAAAATTGAAATACAACACATAAAGATAATTATTTGAGGCATTAGTGAGCTGAAATGGACTGGTATTGGACATTTTGAATAATGTTCAATTATTTTGTCCATAGTAGACAATAATGTAGTCTACTATGACAGGAATGATAAATTGGAGAGGAATGGCACCGCATTCATCATTAAAAAGAACATCTGGAAGTACAACTCTGCCAATAATAGGATAATATCCATATACCTACAAGGAAAATCTGTTAACATGGCTATTATTAAAATTTTTACACCAACTACTTATGCCCAAAATGAGGAAATTGGAGATTTTTACCAACTTCTGCAGTCTGAAACTGATCATGCATGGAATTAAGATGAATTGGTAAGTACCTGTGATTGAAATGCAAAAGTTGGAAACAGGAAGGATCAGCAGCTGAAAAATATGGCCTTGGCGATAGATTTGATGGATTTGAACTGCTGACCTTTTGGTTAACAGCCCAACACATAATGTAGAATAACTGATGGGGAAAGAAGAAATGGTGAAATGAAAGGACAGAAGATCTCAAGGGGCAGCTCAAGAAGACAAAGTACAATTATTAAAAAGAAATGTGCAAAGACCTGGAATTAGAAAACCAGAAGGAACTTGTACACATGGTATTTCTCAAGCTGAAAGAACTGAAGAAAAATTCAACTCTTGAGTATCAATACTTAATAATTTTGTGAGCAAAATGCTAAATTAGGCAGAAAACATCAAGAGAAGAAAGAAATACACAGTCATTGTACTTTTTACCAAAAAAGAATTGGTTGATGTTGAACCATTTCAGGAATCTAGAACCAATGGTATTGAAGGAAAAAGTCCATTGGAGAAAAGTCCAAGGCATTAGAGAAAAAAAAAGGTCCAGGAATTGACAGAATACCAATTGAAATATTTCAACAATAGATGCAATATAAGAAGTATTCACTTGTCTATGCCAAGAAATATGGAAGGCAGTTACCTGGTCAACTGACTGGAAGAGATCCATATTTATGTCCATTCAAAGGAAAGGTGACCCAGTGGATTGTGGGAATCATTGAACAATATCATTCATGTTACAAACAAGTAAAATTTTACTGAAGATAAAGCTTCTCCCATGGAACAGCTGGTAGTTTCAAACTGCTGCCTTAAGATTAGCAACCCAACCTGTAACCACTTTGTTACCAGAGCACAGGGCTGGCTGTGACCATTTGGTTTTAATTGGAAACTGTCTCTTTAAATTTCAAGGAGATCTGTGTGCATGCATGTTAGAACCCTCCAAGGGTGGGGCTGGGGTGTCCAGTAGCTCAGGCACCCTTATAGTCACTCGAATGGAGGTGTGCAGACAGCAAGGGACCAATACCAAATGAAAAGAATGTCCATACCTTTATTTCTGCGGTTCCGCCAGGCATCTGTGGCTGTTCAAATCCTTCCCCTGCTTGGTCTCACCCAAGATGGCAGCTCCTGGAGCAGCTGGGCATCCCAGACTAGAAAGCAATGGGTTTCTTGCTTGTGCCACAAATCCCCCCAGCTGTAAGCCTTCCAACCTTCTAAATATTCCTTTATATGTGGTTCAGAGTTCTGGGACCATCCCCTGAGGCTGTTTGTTTGGGTATTCTGTGTTGTTGCTGGTGGAGCTCTTTACAACACTTCCACCCGATCCACCATCTTGTTTGTTCTCCAAGTTATATATTTTTAAAAAGAACAAATATTGTATGATCCTATTTTTATGAAATAGCTAGACTAGAAAAATCCACCCAGGCAAAATTTTAGTGATTACTTAGGGTTAGAGAAAAGAGGAATGGGGAGTAAAAAAAGGAAAAAAAGAGTTTTACATGAGTCTCTTATTTAAAAAAAAAAAAAAAAAAATCCTTCAGATAAAGAGAATTATGCAAATCTCACATTCTTTGGACAAAGGATACCCCAGAGTCTTTTCCTACCATATACACAATAACTGTGTTTGATGCTACCTCTCACTGCTCCTTTTCCCTAGGTATCTTCAAACTTGGTATTGGCTTCAAGGCCTTATTTTTAAATTCCTCCTCCTCCTTCTCTTCCTCTTACCCATTTATTTTTGCCTTCTTATGAGTAGGAACTGACTCGACAGTAATGGAATTATTTATGTATGTATGTATGTATACTTTGGTATTTAATGTTTCAGACCTTCAAAAAAGTCTTGAGGATAAGTGAATGAAAACCATGTATCTACCAGACAATTTAAACAATAAAACATTGCATTGCCTTACAAATGGATTATCTCCTGCTGTCCTGGATTTATTGTTTATTGTTCTGAAGCATATCTTCATGCTCTTACATTACATGCATGGTGTTTTTGCATTTAAAAGTGTCCTTTTGCATTTAAAATTTTTATACAGAATTGATATTTTAGTCTGCATTTTTCGGTTATTATTATTTTTTCTCTCAAAGTTATATTTTTGAGATCGTCTATATCGATGCATGAAACTTTGTTTGGTTCTCACTGATAAGGTATTCCAATACTTGAATAGACTAGAATTTATTTCTCTAAGATGGACATTTAAGGAAGCCTGGTGCTATAATTGTTAAGCACTCACTTGCTCACAGAAATGTTGGCAGTTCAAATCACCTGTCACCTCTTGCAGGAGAATAACCTGGAGTTTTCTCCTGGTCACATGGGGTTGTTAAAAGTTGAAATTAACTCCATGACACCTGCTTTACATCAGCAGTAGCCACAGGCTGTGCAAAGTGGAACTGCTCCATAGCATTTTCAAGTTTTTAAGAGGCAGAATGCTAGGCCTGTCTCCTGACCTTCTGGGTGGATTTGAACTGCCAACCTTTTGTGGTCAAATGCTTAATGATTTACACTACACAGGGATTCCTCAACTTTATTGTTGTTAAGTGCCATTGAGTCAGTTTTGACTCACAGAGATCCTGTATAGGGTTTCCAAGGATTGGCTGGTGGATTGAACTGCCAAACTTATAGTTAGCAGTCAAGTGCTTATCCTACATCAGGACTCCAACTTCATTGTGGGGGGTGGTGGTGGTGTGCCGTGGAGTCAATATTGTTAAATTGTTCTCCAAAGTGGCTGTACCAATCTGTAGTCTCCCAAAACATTTTTTTTTTTACAGGTATAATTGATCTTGGACCATTGCCAACACTTGGAGTTGTCTGACTTTAAAATTTTTGCCAGTGTGGTTTTAATACAGAGGCTTCAAAAAGTTCATGGAAAATGGAATTAAAGAAAATGGAAGTTTTCCATGAACTTTTTGAAGCGCCCCCCATACTTTATCATGATATTAATTTACATGTTCCTGATAAACAATGACATTGAATATATTTTCATATGCTTGATTTCTTCTGGTTCTTTAGTATTTAGAGTTTTGTGATGACATCATTTTGCTAGAAGATGGGAAAATCTGTGAAGCTGGAACTCATAATGAATTAATACAGAAAAAAGGGCAGTATGCCCGACTCCTCCAGAAGATCCACGGGGAAGACACACAGGTGATTTCTAGCCCCCATTCCTCATTTCCCCTAGGGAAGGGTGTTACTGCATTCACAGTATGTACTTTTTCCCCAGAACGTGAAACAGGAGACAGGAAAGAAACAGGACACAGTAGAAGATCAAGCTTGGGATGCTACCTGGGAAGATCCTCTTAGCGACAAAACTGGTAACGGTGCTAAGAAACTGGGTGGGAATGTCCACGTGTTTGCCTGGGCCTTTCAGAGGTTTGGTATTTCTTTCTCAACCCAAGACCAGGCCATATCCCACAAGGTCTGGAATCAGATATTTGCAAACACGGGTGACAGATCCAAGTAGTAGAAGGCCAGGGAGTGGTGGTTAGGAGGCCTGAAGGGCCCAGTAAGTGGGTGATGCAAGAGGCTCAGCAGATGCTGTCAAGCAGAGGCAAGGCGGAGTGTTCTGAATAAAGCTGATTTAAGGCTTTGAAAGGTATGTGGATGTCCATTCATTGTACATTTGTTGAGATAAGATATTAGAGATCTTCTACATTGAAGATCAGAATGGAGTCCTGAATCCAGATGAGTTCATGGCCTTACCCTTTTCTGAGGCAAAGTAATAGAATGGAAAGGCATTAATTTTAAAGCCTAACAGTTCTGGATTTGAGTTCGAACTCTACTGCTTTCAAGGCTGTGTGATCTTGGCTAAGCAACTTAACCTCTCTGAACCCTCAATGGTTGTAATGAGGATTAAATGAGTTAAAGTATGGGCAGCCCTCAGCACAGTACCTGGCACATTGTATTGTCTCCAACCGAGTTCTTTAGGTACAAAGGTCTGAATTCTACTTTGGCTAATATAATCAGAAAAATAATTTGTGGTATGACTGAAAGGGAAAGTTGAAGAACAGGGTCTTTGCAACTTTTATATCTAAGTTGCAGGAACTGGTACAGAGTCTTTTTGAAGTGTTTCCCACCCTTGTGTAAGTTCCCTTAAGACTCAAATTCCAAGAAGAGAGTAAGCACCTAATTGGCCAGTATGGATCATGTACCCACCTTTTGGCCAAAGGATGAGGATGAGGCATCTTGACTGAAGTTCTTCCAAGATCAAGCCCAATGGAGAAGGAGTGGTCCCCTAAGGAAATGTTGGGTTGTTGGTATTAGTGGAAGGGGCAGTATCAGGCATTATCAATAGACATCCACTACCCTACTGGTTGTTGTTGGTAGTGTTGTTACTAATAGTAGTAGTAGTATTTACTGGTCTCTCGGTACTGGTCTCAGTACCCTGCTTTAGGCCAAGGGTCTGCCCGGGCTGGCATCACAACTGTTTTTGAGGAGTTGGCTAAGAAGTATTTGGCACTTGATGCAAAGTATCTTGGTGACTGTCTAGGCCTGCCAATTTTCAGATGTGGAAGCTGAGAGGTTAAGTAAGTTGTCTGAGGCTGTCCAGTGAGTTAGTCATGGTGACAATTCTGAACCTTCAGGCTTTACTGAGTGGTTCTGGAGTCCATGTCAGGGGCTATCTTCAGCAGAGTCTTACTGTAGAAAATCTTCTGGTTGGGGTTAGTCTTGGGGAAATTGTGCAGCTGGAAGGTGAAGAAGCTGGAAAAGTTGAAAACCAGGCCAGAGGACCAGGACTCCCCTTGGTCCCCAAAGAAGATACTTGTAGTTAAATGGCATCAACATTTTCTTCTTCTTTTTACCCCTGATCCAGTGCCGGAAAATCAGCTCACAAAGAAGGAAGAGATGGAAAAAGGTTCTCTGAGTTGGGGTGTCTACCACTACTACATCCAGGCAGCTGGAGGTATGGTTCATTAGCTGACCTATACCAGGCAGTGGCTCCCTCTGATCAGCCATGCCCCTGAAACTGGAAGAGTCATTAACAACATACATAGTAGCTGTTGTTATTTTAAATAAACTGAACCCTAAGGTCTTGCATAAGAGGAACTAACTTCTCTGGAGTGCTGTTTATGTGGCAGGTCCTAGGCTAGGTGTGTACAGTTATCTCTCGTCATCTTCAGAGCAGCCCTGGGAGACTGGCCTGAGCACCACTGATTTATAGATAAAGAAATGAAAGGCTAATGACATCTTATGTCAATGAGATTATGTTATGACCTTGTCATTGGCCCCAGAGTTGGGAAGCAATAGAGCTAGGATTTGAACCCAGGGTCCTCTGACTTTGGAACACAGATCTTCTTTGTCTTCAAGGTACCCAAAGTGGATGAAGACTGGGGAGTGCCAAAGATTCAGGGTCTTGGCTGCCTGAGCAGCCTTGTCAGTAGTTGCCTTACCTCTTGCTCTGGTCCTAGGCATTACTCAGCATCACCTCCCTTTCCCTTCCCAGGTTACATAGTCTCTATCATGGTTTGCCTTCTCATGGTGGTGACCATGTCCCTTCTGACCTTCAACTTCTGGTGGCTGAGCTATTGGTTGGAGCAGGGCTCAGGGGTAAGTGGCATGATGGGGGTGGGGTACAGTTCTGTGAGAACCCATGGGGGTGAGGTGGCTTCTTGCTTCCTGGGGTGCTTACTGTCTGATGCCCACAAGGGCCAGAGCATGGGCTAGGGAATCACATGGCAAGCCCAGTGCTTGCAGTTGCTGAGTTGGCAAAAGCTGCTCCAAAGAGAACTTCTAGAGTCAAAACACCAAAATTCCTTGGAGGAATCTAACCAGACATCTAGTTCCCAAGCTTCTGCTAGCATCAGAAGTGGAGAAAGCACAAGAGGGGCAGGAATGATGATGGATGACAATCCAACTCAAATTGCTGTCACATAAACCTAAACCAAACCACTTGTTGTTGGGGACTAAAGTGCACCTGACCCCAGCCATGGTATTTTCAATAGCCTCATATGCATGTAAATAAAGAAGATCATAGAAGAATTGATGCATTTGGGTTATGGTGTTGGAGGAGAATATTAAAAGTACCATGGATCACCAAAAGAACAAATAACTCTGTGTTGGAAGAAGTACAGCTAGAATGCTTCTTAGAAGCCAGGATGACCAAACTTCAGACATATTATCTCTCATACTTCAGACATACTATCAGGAGGGAACAGTCCCTGGAAAAGGATACCATGCTTGGTAAAGTGGAGGGTCAGCAAAATGAGATGGATTGGCACAATGGTAGCAGCAATGGGCTTAAGTGTAGCAACACTTGTGAGGTTGCTGCAGGACCCAGCAGTGTTTCTTTCTGTTGTGCATAGGGTCACTATGAGCTGGTGACGGTAGCACCTAACAACAACACAACAGCTTTATGTAATTAGATTCTCAGGTAGTTCCTGTTAGCAGCTAAGTTCTTAACTGTTATTCTACCAGGACTCTTTCCTGAGGGGATTGGTGTTGTTGTTATTGTTAGGTGCCATCAAGTCTGTTCCAACTCATAGCAGCCACATATAGGGTTTCCAAGGAGTGGCTGGTGAGTTTGAACCACTAACCTTGTGGTTCAAACCTTGCAGTCCAGTGTTTTATCTCACAGAGCCACACCAGGACTCCTCCTTAAGGGACAGATAACCAAAAAACCAAACCCATTGCCTTTGAGTGGATTCCGACTGACAAAGACCCTACCTGAAAGAGTAGAGCTGCCTCACAGGGTTTCCAAGACTGTAATCTTTATAGAATCTTTTCTTCCCATGGAATGACTGGTGGGCTCAAACAGCCTACCTTTTGGTTAGCAGCCAAACACTACACCTCCAAGGCTCCTCAGGGTATAGATAATAAGGATCTAATCCAGAAGGATGGTAGAGAGGATGAAGAAGGGTAAGTAGCAAAATAATGAACCCAGAAGTCACTCAATCTTATGTGGCCCTAGAGAGAAGAAATTTTCTTATTCCTGAATTTCACCCTGGATTCATGTGGTCTGACTCCCTCTTCTTTCTTGAAGACCAATAGTAGCCGAGAGAGCAATCAGACCAACGCATTCCCTGGTGACATACTGGACAACCCACAGCTGCCCTTTTACCAGATGGTGTATGGTCTCAGTGCCCTGTTCCTGTCCTGCACAGCGGTCTGTTCCTCATGGGCCTTCACAAAGGTTTCAAGGAAAGCATCTACAGTTTTGCACCATAGGCTCTTCAAAAAGGTAGGGGCTCAGTATATTGGGAGTGTGTGGCCACCCAGACCTTGCCTAACCTTTAAACATTGTTATTGTGGTACAAATATATATAATAAAACATTTGCTAGTGTAACAAGTTTTACATGTATAATTATTTTTTCAAGGTTCATCCATGTCATAGCATATTAGAGACTTTATTCTCTTTATGACTAAGTAATATTCCACCCCATGTATGAGGGTAAGTAACAACATATTGCTACTAGGGTTCTAGTTCATACATGCACAGGTTTATTCCAAATAAAACATGTCTCTGTGATCAGTGGGTAGCTACAGACAAGTTCTTTTTGTCTACTTAGGAGAGATCAGTGGCTCTGTATAATAAGCACAGCACTGTAAAATACAAGATCAGTCATTCAAGTCCTCCAGTTGCTCCACGGGAGAAACTTGAGACTTTCAGCACCTGCAGATGTAAAACCTCAGAAAGCCTACAGAGGTCTGACACTATGAATCAGAACTAACTCCACAGTACTCTACAATAATAACAACAACAACAACAGGGTGCCTTTCAAAAAAGGGTAATCTTTATGCTATGGAAAAAATGATTTTGAGATCAGGGATAATGTAAAATTTTTAATAAAACTCAAGTGGACATATTGCTAAATCACTGAAGTTTTACATCAAATTTAAAGGAATGCTATCTCACATAAACAACAGTTTTTAGATGGATCAAGTGTTTTAAGGAAGACTGGGAAGACCTCAAAGATGAATTCAAGGTGGAGAAGTCAGCACAAAGTTTATGGAAACAATTTTTTCAGGATTTCAAATGGGTAATTTTGATAGATTTTCTCCAAGGACACAAAGCAATCATGAGGACTTATTATGAAAAAGTTTTAAGAAAATTGCATGGGTGGGAAAAGATCAGGAAAGTTGTGCCAAGGAAATGTTTCCCATTACAATGCACTTGCTCATTGTTTTAGGATAGTAAGGACTGTCCTAAAGGAGCTCTGGTAGCGCAGTGGTTACGAATTGGGCTGTGAACCTGCAAGGTCAGAAGTTCGAAACTACCAGCTGTTCTGTGGAAGAAAGATGAGGCTTTCTGCTTTTGTAAAGATTTACAGCCTTGGAAACCCTGTACAGGGTTGCTATGCGTTGGAACTGACTCCATGCACATAACAACAACAACAAAGGACTGTCCTATTAGAATTTTTTTTGGAAAACCTTTCCTCATCCACTCTGTTGTTGCTGTTACGTGCCGTCAGGTCAGTTCTGACTCATAGTGACCCTGTATAAGGTTTCCAAGGAGTGGCTGGTGATCTTGAACCACTGACCTTATGGTTCAAACTGACCTTGTAGTCCAGCACATTAACCCACAGCACCACACAGGACTCCACTCTACAGCCCTGATATTGCTCCTTCAGACTTCTTTTTGTTACACAAAAAGACCACTTAAAAGGAACATGATTTGAGCCCCTTGAAGATGCCAAAATTGCCATTTTGGTGTGGTGTAAATTCAAGATTGCAGAATTCTTCAGGCATGATTAGAGAGATGGAACCACTGCTTTCAGAAGTGTATAGATCTAGATGGAGGATATATTGAGAAACAATAGCTTTGTACTTTGATGTTTTTGTTTAATAAAGGTTTCTATGTGCAAAAAAAATGTAGCATCAAACATCTCTCCCAGAGCACTCTCTACTTCTCTGATGGGTTCGAGAATTCATTGCAACAGCCACACATAATTCAGATACCATACTCATGATTATGGGGTTGACTAGGGAAGTTAACAGGTTATAGTTCAGGAGTGGTAATGTTCCAGATACAGTTCTTCCAGCCAGGCCAGCCTCTCCTCAGCTTTGTCAACAAGCATGCTTCTCTCTGGTCCCCAACTCCTGGGCCTGGCCTCTGCCCTGCTCTGAAATGTTACAAAGCTCTTTTATTTTTTAAAAAGGTTTTATTATGAATTGAGTGAAAGTTTACATCAGAGAACACTGGTTTTGCACTCATCTTATCATATTTTGTTTCATTGCAATGATTATAGTCCCCTCCATGAATCATCATTTAACAGTATTTACTTCTATTCTCTCTGTTTGTTTGTTTTTTAATGTACTCAAAACCACTCAGGAATATATAATAATTTAAACAACAAAAGAGCACATTCTGCAAGCCTGCCTCCTGGCCATCAGCACACAGCCTTTCTCTTTCCATGAGTCTTGAATCCTCAGCTACTCTATTTCTCCATGCCATCACCTCTGCCCCCATCTCTGGTGCCGCTGCTTCTATGGTTAGGGTTCCACATTCTGCTCATGCTCTTCTCTCTTGATAGTCCAGGGTCCTCTGTTCCTGGACTGTAAGATTAACTACTCCCCCCTTTATGTTACAAAACTTCTACCTTTACAGTTGTGACAATTGCAATTAGTTATGATAACAATTACTCACTATTGAACCAAAAAAATCCTATTCCCATCTTCTTTTACCAAACCCATCTACACAAGAGGAAATCTATTCAGTGGGGATTCTACCTTCCCTCGCACACTCTGAAACTAATAAACTCCCTCTTTAAAACTTGTAAGCCAGTCACTTCATGCCTTTATGGCCACCACCATTTTAGGTAGCCAATGTCTAAGTTGCCCATCCCTATCAACACTGTGTACTAAGGGGATAGGCTTGATCCTTGATGTGAAGATTCATTCTCTTTTGGTTGTATTTTGAGCTAATACATCCATAAGTATAGGTCAAGTTCATGAAATGTAGCAATTTACATTTGCTTCCTTTATCAAATTTCTTTATCTTCCTCTAGTTGAGCTCTGGTCATCAAGCCATCAAAGCTAGGCCAAATGGGTACTATCTGCAAGTTTGGGTGTTCTTGTGCAACCCTTCTTCCCCCCCCCCCCCCCATACACACACACTGCCACTCCACTTCATATCAGCTGGATGCTTCACTCTCAGCTCTAATCCTCCATGCCTAGGTCAGTGTCCAGGGGCTCAGGAGTTCCCAAGTTGCCCCAAACTTCGGACCAATCTGCCCTTCCTCTTCTCTCTCTCATCTCCAGGTTGACAGGAGTCTATGGACTGTGGTGGAATTCAGCCCATATCTTCATTACTGACTTTCCCCCACTGCCACTCACATGTCAACCAACATGGTCGCCAGTGAACTTACGTGCCGGCTCATGTGTTCCCTTTGAGTTTAAGTCTTGGAGGGTGGTTCATCCTGCAGGGACTTGATTGTTTGCTTTGATGGCTCCCTGGCAAAGTTTGCTTGTTCTTGTAATAGCCAAACAAACTGCTGTTTTTGTTTTTCCTGTTGGTCTTTCTTTCAAGAAGTATCTTCTGTTTCTCTAGTCACTTGGACTGGTCTGCATGTCCTTTCACATGGGACTGTCCCACCTCAGAAGGTTCTGGATGGGGCTCAGGATTCCACCTAAGGCCCTATACATTACAAAGGCTTCTTGAGAAGACTATTTCACTGGGCAAGTTCTAGAACCCCTTTTAGGTATTCCAATCCGTTATAGGCTGAAGATGGGCCTACAAGCTTACAAAGGTCTTTAGGGTTGCTGATAAATGCTCACAGAGCATACCACTCCACCACAAGCCTCAGCTTGAGGGCACTTGGCTCCTGCTCTGAGAATCAGAAAATTTAGCTCCCCAAATTAAATGCCTGGAGGCACCCTACTCTGCAAGGAAGTCTGCTCTCCAAAGTTACTCAGCTTTATTTGCTTTGTGGCCTGGGAAGTCCACTGCTCAGTCTCTTTCTCTGGCTCTGGCTGTGCTGCAGCTGCTCCTCTGCCACTCCTCTGCTATTCTCTGGTGTCACAGTTTTCTGTTCTTGGTTGAGAAGGTTCAATGTGCAGAGACCTGTAAGAACATGCTCCACTTTTGGCTCTTTCTTCTTAATGTTAGTGAGCTACATACCCCCCTTCAGTTCCCATCCTGCTTCTGAGATGGCTCATTTTAAATCCATGTTAGAGTTCCAAGTCTTTGCAATTACAATTAACTCTGAATTATATCATCCTATCAGCATCTTCTCCCACATTTTCTTACCCAGTAAGTTGTCAAAGGCTTCCTTCTTCTTGGATCAACTATCAACACTCATGGAAGCAGAAGTCAAGAAATCAAACGACGTATTGCATTAGGCAAATCTGCTGTACAAGACCTTTTTAAAGTGTTGAAGAGCAAAGATGTTAGCTTGAGGACTAAGGTGCTCCTGACACCCAAGCCATGGTATTTTCAACAACCTCATATGCATGTGAAAGCTAGACAGTGAATAAAGAAGACCTTAGAAGAATTGATGCATTTGAGTTATGGTTTTGGAGGAGAATATTGAAAGTGTCATGGGCTTCCAAGAGAACAAGTAGATCTGTTTTGGAAGGCATATAGCCAGAGTGCTCCTTGGAGGCCAGGCTGGCCAAACTTTGGCTCTCATACGTTGAACAAATTGTCAGGAGAGACCAGTCGCTGGAGAAGGATGTTTGGTAAGGTAGAGGGTCAGAGAAAAAGAAGAAGACCCCCAGTGAGATGGATTAGCAAAGTGGCAGCATCAATGGGCTCAAGCGTGGCAACAATTGTGAGGTTGGTCCAAGACTGGCAGTGTTTCATTCTGTTGTACATAGGGTTGCTATGAGTTGGTACTGACTCGATGGCACCTAACAATGATAACAACCATCAGGAAGAATTTGCTTGGTGGTAATTACAAGGACCATGGATAGAAGAGCCATGTGAAATAGCCCACTGCACCGCACTATGATTTTGTAGCAATATTTTGACTTACCTCATGTATACCATAATTAGTTTATCCATCCATCTGTTGTTGGGAATTTAAGATGTGTCCCTCTTTTGCCTATTATGAATAGTACATCTATGAACATCAGTGTATGTAGTCTAACTTTAATTTGCAAGTGTCCTTTGCCAAGTCATGAGGTGGGGAGGGAGAAGAACATATGGAGCATTGGGGAAGGTCTCCTGCTGCTGGAAGTAGGATTGGTCACACCAATCTGGTCACTGTTGAATGAGCATTTCCACTTACAGAGTGTTTGTAATCACTTCAAATTCCTTCTGAGGTGGCTGTTATTATTCTCATTTTACATATGAGAAAATGATGAGTCCAAAGTGCTTAGCATAAGGAGCTCTGGTAGCGTAGTGGTTACGAACCGGGCTGTGAACTTTAAGGTCAGCAGTTCAAAACTACCAGCTGTTCTGTGGGAAAAAGATGAGGTTTTCTGCTCCTGTAAAGATTTACAGCCTTGGAAACCCTGTACAGGGTTGCTATGAGTCAGAACTGACTCCAAAGCACATAACAACAACAACAACAACATGTCATGGTTACCATGCCAAATTATCTATGGTATCACATTGACTCATTGAAAATGTCATTTCTCTCTTTCACTTATTGTTGTTAAGCACCACTGAGTCACTTCCGACTCATAGCGACCCTATATAAGGCTTCTGAGGAGCAGCTAGCGGGTTTAAACTGCTGACATCATGGGCTGCTGTTTAGTGCTGATCCTACAGAGTCTCACTATGAGTCCACATCTCTCACTTATCAGATATTAACTGAATGCTTACTATGTACCAGTCTCTGTGCTGGGCATTGGGTTTACAATAATGAATGAATAATGCAGATACAGTTCCTGGCACCATGGGCACAAACCAAGAAAAACAAATGCTTTCTGATGCCCTTGATGGAGGCACTTTACTAAGGTTGTGTTTGATTCCATGATTCTAGAAATATCCAGTGCCTAGGGCTCCAAGTGACTTTATATTTTCATTTTGAGAAATGTTCAAGCCTTTCCTGTTAGAAAAGGCATTTCATATTTAAAATATTTTCCTTTTCCCATTCCTTTCATGGCTTTATTGATTTAAGCAGTTTTAAATAACCACAAGTAAAGGACAAATCTTTTAGTAAACTGACTGAACTAAATAAACAAGAGCAGCCAAACCAAACCCCTGCATGACATGGGAGGCCATCCAAAATGCTTTTTCTTGTTTTCCCTCCTCCTTGATCTTGAGTGTCAATCATTTCTTGTAAAGACCTCTTAGCCCTGCTGTAGCTGTGCAACTGAAGGGAAGGAGTTCAGTTGCTCGTGTTCCCTGTTCCCCTGTTCCTCCCTGGCCCTGCACAAGCCCAAGGTCCTCAAGAGAGTGACTTTCTGCCTTTCAAACTCTCCCAATGAGTGTGGCAATTCTAACCGTTTTAGCTCAAGTATTTAACAAAAGACTCTGGAGATAAAATAGACACTTTATAGGCAGAAAAAGTAAAGACAGTCATATCAAAAGAAAGCTCTGATACTGCCTACTCACTTTTACTTACTTAGTAAGCACACATACATGTGAACTACACTTGGTCAGCAGTACCCAGGCATTTTCTGTGAGAGATGCTTTAAGGAACACTTTATGGTGCAAATAATGACGATTTTTCCAGTTGCCATTGAGTTGCTTCCAACTCATGATGATCCCTTGCATGTCAGAGAGGAACTCTGCTGAGTAGAGTTTCCAACAGCTGGTATATTGGAAGAACATTGTCAGATCTTTTTTCTGAAGTTCTTCTCGATAAACTCGGACCTTCAACCTTGTGGTTAGCAGTTGAGAATATTAATCATGTGCACCACCCAAAGGACTTCTGTCACTACTGCTCTTCCCACTATTCTTCCTTCTCTCCCTCATTCTTCCTTTAGTTTTGGTATTAATAGATACGATTTATCTGGATTCATTCATTTTTGTGTGTTGTTAGGTGTCATCAAGTCAGTTCTGACTCATAGCGACCCTATTGACCACAGAAGGATGCACTGCCCAGTCCTGTGTCATCCTCACAATTTTTATATTTGAGCCCATTGCTGCTGTCACTGTGTTAATCCATCTCATTGGTGGTCTTCCTCTTTTTTGTTGACCCTCTTCTTTGCCAAGCATGATGTCCTTCTCCAGGGACCGGTTCCTCCTGGTAACATGTCTGAAATGTTACAACTTAAGAAATATGAGTCCATGGGGAAACTAAAAGGGCCAGTCAGTGGAGCCTTTAAGACATGCCTTCTGTGACTAGCACAGGTGGGGGTTGGGAGAGACTCAGGAGGCCCATTCCAGTCATGGTTTTGTCATTACTCCTTAGGTAACTTTTACCAAGTCACTAAGCCACTTCTTCTCTGGGCCTCAAATCTCTCCTCTGTAAAATGAAGGTGTTGAATGAGATACTTTTTCAGAGCTCTTTCAGTTTGAAATGTTCTTTGATTGTCAAAGGACATCATGCTCACTATCAATGCCATCTTCAAAGGGATCACCCCCCCCCCACCCAAACAAACAAACAAATCTGTTGCTGTCAAATTGATTCTGACTCATGGTGACCCCATGTGTTACAGAATAGAATTGATTCATAGGGTTTTCTTGCTGTAATCTTAATTAAAACAGATGGCCAAGCTTGTCTTCCATGAGTAATTTGAACCACCCACCGTTAGATTAGTTGTTGTTGTTAAGTGACATCAGTCAGTTCTGACTCACAGTGACTCTGTATAGGGTTTCTGAGGAGTGGCTGGTGGGTTTGAACCACCAATTTTGCAGCTCAAATCCCAGGGGCCTTGCAAAGGGGCAGCTGACCCAAGAGTCTGAATCTTACACAGCTGTGGTAAAATTACTGATACTGATCTTTGGCAATCCTGAATAAAAGTGGACTTACCAGTAGAAAATAGTAAGAGCTGCTGTTGGTGGAATCCTTACCAGAGGTTTAGTACTGCTCCAAGCACGTTCACTATATTGCCTTTCTCTCTCTCTCTCTCTCTCTCTCTCTCTCTCTTTTTTTTGTGATGTATGCACTGTAACTATATTCAAGTGGCATCAATCACAAAATGTAGTGCAACAATTGCCACTATTTGTTTCCCAAACTTTTTCATCACCCCTAAAATGGCAAACTCTGTACCCATTATTTCTTTTTTCAGCCCTATGGAGGTATAATTCACACATCATAACATTCACTTTTTAAAAAAGTTTTTATTGTGAACTGAGTGATAGTTTACATGGGAGAACATCAGCTTTACACTCATCCTATCGTATTTTGTTTCATTGCAATGACTATAATACCCTCCATGCATCATCATTCAACAGCATTTGCTTCTATTCCCTGTTTTTTTTTTGTTTTGGATGTACACCAAAACACTCAGGAATATATAATCATTTAAACAACCAAAGGGCATACCCTGCAAACCTGCTCCCCGGCCACCAGCACACAGCCCCTCTCCCTCCATGAGTCTAGAGTCCCCAGCCGCTCCATCTCTACATGTCATCATCTCTGCCTCCATCTCTGGCATTGCTTCTCCAGGTAGGGTCTCACACTCCACTGCTGCTCTCCTCCTTTTATTGTCCCAGGGTCCTCTGCTCCAAGATCAACCACTCCCTTCTTTTTGTTACAAAATGTCTACCTTTACATTTGCAACAATTGCAATCAGTCCTGATAGCAGTTATTCACTATTGAACCACAAGAGTCTTATCCCCATCTCCTTTCACCAGCCCTGTCTAGACAGGATGAAAACCACTCAGTGGAGAGTCTACCTTCTCCTGTACCCTCTGAAACTAAACACCCTCTTGAAAATGTGTAAGCCAGTCACTTCGTGCCTTTATAGCCCCTCCACTCTGGTAGCATAGTGGTAACGAGTCAGGCTGCCAACCTCAAGGTCAACAGTTTGAAACTACCAGTGGCTCTGTGGGAGAAAGATGAGGCATTCTGCTCCCATAAAGATTTACAGCCTTGGCAACCCTGTGCAGGGTCACTATGAGTCAGAAGCGACTCCATGGTACTTAACAACAACAATTTTAGGTAACCAATGTCTAAGTTGCCCATCCCTATCAACCCTGTGTACCAAGTGAGTGGGAATGATCCTTGCTGACATTCACTCTTTTAAATAATGCCATCCATGGGTATTTAGTATATTTACAGAGTAGTGCAACTCTCCCCAGAACACTATGCAGCATTCTTATCATATTGAGTTCACAAATTAGGGTCCTGAGACTCAGGTGTTAAGTAACTTGCTCAGTCACACAGCAGTAGGTGGAGGTCAAGCAAATTGATTCAGGAGTCCATGCTCTAAACCACTGCTCTCCTGCCTCCCCTGTGGGTCCTTTAGAATACTTCCTGCACTCCTTTAGAACCTAAGGATAGCCAGCAGCAACATCAAGTCCCATGTAATACCTATAGCTACTCTCATGGTCTGGATTAATTTTGTCCTGCAGGTTTTCCGCTGCCCCATGAGTTTCTTTGACACAACCCCAATGGGTCGACTCTTGAACTGCTTTGCGGGGGATTTGGATGAGCTGGACCAGATCTTGCCCATGATTGCTGAAGAGTTCCTGCTCTTGTTTTTGGTGGTGATCTCTATCCTGATTATTATCAGTGTGCTGTCTCCATATATATTGGTGATGGGAGCCATCCTGGCTGTTATCTGCCTGGTTTTTTATACGTGAGTGGTTTTCTTTTGCTTGTGAGCGGGGTTTGTGACTTGGGGTGTGAGGCTATAACCAACCTAGAATTGGATAGTCTCAGAATTGAAGCGTCTCAGAAGTGAATGATTCAGGTCACTCACCTTCATTCTTGATGCAGGATGTTCAAAAAGTCCATCAATGCATTCAAGAGATTGGAGAACTACAGTCGGTCACCTTTATTCTCCCACATCCTCACCTCTCTGTATGGTCTGAGTTCTATCCATGTCTATGGAAAAACTGGAGACTTCATCAGCCAGTAAGTTCTTTTGTTATCTATCTGAGAATGATGGGGGTAGTGGTGCAAGTGTGCAACAGGGAGGCAGGACGCAATTAAATAAGTAATTGCTAATTCTAAGTGGAGGATATATAGATATGTATTAAACTAACCTTTAAAATTTTTCATATTCATAACAATTTTTATAACAAAAGACTAGGAAAGAATAAGTGATGCTACTAGTTTGTGTAAATGAAGAGTCTAGAGGGAAGACTTGATCCAGAGGTTCATACAGTGTCTTGAAGGACTCTGACTGTGTGACAGTTTTGCTGCTATGCATGGTGTTCTACTGCTGTGCATGGTGTTGATTTTATCCTTAGGACCTTAGAGACTCCATGGCAACTCCAGGATCCCCTCATGGTAGCAAAGTGGCTGCAGTTGTTTTAGACTTCCCATTGTCCTCCTGGAGAAATCTACCCCTTCATTCATTAACAAATCCTGGTTGTTAGTGATTTTCATTGACCCAACTGTGTAACTTACCCAGTCATTGAGGCCTGAGTTAGACAGACATGTGGAGTCTACAGCTTGTGCTTTTTTCCTTCAGGTTTAAAAGGCTGACTGATACACAGAGTAACTACCTGCTGTTGTTCCTGTCTTCCACACGATGGGTGGCACTGAGGCTTGAGATCATAACCAACCTGGTGACCTTGACTGTAGCCTTGTTCGTAGCTTTTGGCTTTTCTTCCACCTCCTATTCCTATAAAGCCATGGCTATCAGCTTTGTCTTGCAGGTGAGATAAGGACTCAGACCACCAGGACTTATCTGACCTGTGGCCTCTGGACAGCCTCAGGAGTCCACAGGATTTTTATTACATCTTGAGTTTTAGTCATCTTATGAACTATGTGCTTAAGCTTCTGAATGTTGCCTGTTTGTGCTATTTCCTGATGTCACCTCTGAATTGTGAAGTCTGCATTTAAAAGTACTTACATTAGGATTGAAGGGGATCTCATAGGCAAGAGAGATCAGCCCTTGTGAAGCTGGAGAAATAGGCCCAAATCAGGAAAGAGGTTACCCAAGTGTCAAAACAGAGGCAAGATAAGAACCCTGACTTTTTGGTTTCCTGGCCAAGGTATTTTTACTTCACCATTCATACCCTGACTCAGTTGCCAAACATTTGTGAATCACTGTGGAAGTTGTCAGAAAACGAGTTTTCCATAGTGCAGGGCTTCTTAAGCTTTCATGTGCATAAGACTTTAACAGATTCTTTGACCCCATCCTTGGAGATGTGATTCAGCTTGGGTGTCTGTGGAGCCCACAGGAGTGCCATTCTTGGAGAGGCACTGCTGGGATCAAGACCTGAGGCTGGGAAGGTTAGAGTTTCATTTTAAAGATGAGTCACCTAAGGGATTTTGATGCAGTTGTTCTGTGGACCTTAGTTGGAAAAACACAAATTCCTCCATGCCAGGCTGTATTTGGCATTTAGCCTTGAAGAGGCAGTTGAAAAACGGTCACATTATGCAACATTTTGCATTTATGACAGTAGTAAAAAGTCTACTATCCAACTATTTTACGCATGTATGGTGTGATGTCTGGCTATGATGGTTGAGGTTATGTCTTTAAGGTTCATCAGCTACAGAAATTCAGAGGAGGATTGTCTACAAATGACTACCTCAGGGAATGCTGGCTGTGCAGGTCCAGTGCACAACCTCCCCTAGAAGTTATACATTAACTGTCCTTTTTGTGGATTGTGTGGCTTTCTTTCTAGCTAGCTTGAGATCCTATGCATGTCTCACTGAGCTTTCCGTCAGTTCCTAATGTTGATACGTTATTTCCATATGCAAAGGGGTACTCATTTGTACAGAAGTACTCTGAACCATATGCCTATGTGTACAGAACCTTCTAAAGGCAAGTGGGGGTATGGCTGTGTGGTTGTGAAGTGCCATCGAGTCAGTTCTGACTCACAGCAACCCTGTATAAGATTGCTGAGGAGTGGCTTGCAGGTTTGAACCACTGACCTTGCAGTTCAAACAGATCTAGTGGTCTGGTACTTTATCCTACCACACTAGGACTCTCTCTCTTTATATAGATTAGGGACCACAGTGACTCCATATGACATTAGATGCAGGTCACATCCTCAAAGAAACTTCTCATCAGAGTAAAAATATGATTTTTTGAGTAAGGTGTGATTTGACTCAAGATGTACAACACACTAATCCTACCTCATTAACAAATAAAGGGTAGAATTTATAACACATAGAATGGAAGATAATTATATAACATGACAAAATGGAAGATAATTACTTTAAATAAAAAATGGAAGACAACCACACAATACTGGAAATCATGGCCTTGTTGAATTGACACATAACATTAACCATCAAAGAATGCTTATACACCTCAAATCATGTCATCGGTATCACTGAATTGTACACTGAGTTGTAGAAACTGTTGCACTGGTATTTGTTTTCTTGTGCATATCCTTAGCAACAACAACAATATAAATAAAAGTTTAAAGCGAAGAAGATAGAAGGAATACACAGAGTAACTACCAAAAATAATGGATCGACTTTCAAGAACTAAAGGAAGAAATTTAAGCTGCACTTTGGTGAAAAACACAACTTCAGGAATTGATGTAATACCAATAGAGACACATAAATAAAACCAATGCAACACTTGTCTAAGCCAAGAAATTAAAAAGACCTGGTCAACCTTCTTCCAAATAAAGATAATGTAGAAATTGTCAAACAATATCACATGCAAGTAAAATTTTGCTGAAAATATTTAAAAAACAATTGCATCAGTACATCAGCAGGGAACTACCAGAAATTCAAGTCAGATTCAGAAGATAACTTACAACAAGGGATATCATTGCTGATATCAGATGGATCTTGGCTGAAAGCAGAGGATACTAGAAAGATGTTTATCTGTGCTAGAGAACAACATATTATGGATAACATTGAGCAAAATGGGAATTCCAATACATTTGGTTGTACTCATTCAGAAACTATATGTAGACCAAGAGGCAGTCCTTTGAACAAACAAGAGGCTAAGGGTTAATGCTTGGTTTAAAATCAGAAAAGGTGCATGTCAGGGTTGTTTCCTTTCACCATACTTACACAGTCTATATGCTGAGCAGTTAATCTGAGAAACTGGGCTAAATGAAGAATGTGGCATCAGGATTGGAGGAAAGCTCATGAATAACTTGGGATATGTGGATGACACAACCTTTCTTGATGAAACTGAAGAGGACTTGAAGTACTTACTATTGAAGGTAGAAGCCTACAGCCTTCAGTTTAGAAAATCGTCACAACTAACCAATAGACAACATCATGAAAAACAGAGAAAATATTGATATCAAGAATTTAATTTTAATTAGATCAACAATCAACACCCATGGAAACAAGAGTCAAGAAATCAAGTGTCATAGTACATTAAGCAAATCTAAGGACTGGGGTGTGCCTTTTCAATGATCTCATGCATTTGAAAGTTGGATAATGAGAAAGGAAGACCAAAGAAGAATTGATGCCTTTGAATTATGGTGTTGCTGAAGAATATTGAATAGATCATGAACTTCCAGAAGAAGGAATAATCTTCTTTGGAAGAAGTACAGCCAGAATACTCCTAGGCATGAGCATAGCGAGACTATCTCACATACTTTGTATATGTTATCAGGAAGGAACAGTTCCCAGAGAAGGACATTATGCTTAGTAAAGAAGAGGATCAGTGAAAAAGAAGACCCTCAATGAGATGGATTGAATCAGTGTCTGAAATATATTTACTATTGGGAGAATGGCATGGGACCCAGAAATGTTACACAAAGGGCCACTCAGAACTGATTTGACTGTACCTAACAAAAACAGCAGTCCATGAAATACCAGTATAGCAAAGTGTTTAAGAACCTGTAGTTTGGGATGTCCAGGTTCAAACTAGCCTCTTCATTACTAGCTGTGAAGCATTGTGCAAGTTTGTTAGATTCTCTGTGCCTCATTCATAGACTTGTGAGGAATAAGTGTAAACATGAAGATGTAACACATCTAAAACTGTCTTTCTGGCACACAATCAATCAATGTTAGCTATGCCAGGAATGATAAGTTGAAGAGGAATGGTGTTTCATTCATCATCAAAACAAAAACAAACAAGAAAAAAAAAAAAATCCAAGATCTATCCTGAAGCACAACACTGTTGATGATAGGATAATATCCATATGCCTACAAGGAAGACAAGTTAATATGACTACTATCCAAATTTATGCATCAACTACTAGTGCCAAAGATGAGGAAACTGAAGATTTTTACCAATATCTGCAGTCTAAAATTGATCAAACATGCAACCAAGATGCACTTATAATTACTGGTGACTAGAATATGAATGTTGAAAACAAGAAGAATAAGCAGTTGGAAAATATGGTCTTGGTTATAGAAATTTCACCAGAGACCACATAGTAGTTATATAATCACTTGATAAGTTGTTGCAAAACCAACAGCTTATTCATTGTAAATACCATTTTCCAACAATGTAAATGGAGACTATACATATGTACCTCACTGGAAGTACCTAGGAATCAAATTGACTACTTCTGTGGAAAGAAATGATGCAAAAGCTCATTATCATCAGTTAGACCAAGGTCAAAGACCAAGTACAGAATAGACTATCAATTGCATATATGTAAGTTCAGATTGAATATCTGAAGAAAATTAAAATAAATCCACAAAAGTGAACATACAACCTTGAGAATATTCCACCTGAATTTCAAGGTCACATCAAGAGTAATATTTGACACACTGATCACTGAAGACTAGACCAGTTGTGGGATGACATCAAAGACATCATATATAAAGAGAACAAAAGGCCATTAGAAAGTCAGGAAAGAACGAAAAGACCAAAATGGATGTCAGATGAGACTCTGAAATTTGCTTTTAAAAGAGTAGCTAACACAAATGGAAAAAACGATGGAGTAAAATTGTTGAACAGAAGATTTCAAAGGGTGGCTAGAGAAGACAAAGTAAAATAATGAAATATGTAAAGACCTGGAGTTAGAAAATCAAAAGGGAAGACATTTCTGAAAAAAACTGAATAAAAAATTTAAGCCTTGAGTTTCAATATTGAAGGGCTCTATGGGCAAAATATTGAAGGACTCAGAACACTTCAAAAGAAGATGGAAGGAACTGGACTATATTGAACCATTTCAGGAGGTACCATATCATTAAGAACTGATCATATTGAAAGAATTGGAGAAAAACAGTTATTGGAATTGACAGGAAATTCCAGTCAGTTGAGATAGTTCAGCAAAGTGATGGCGAGAAATTTGGAAGACAACTACCTGGCCAACTGACTGGCCCAACAGAATGGGAATATTATTGAATAATATAATTAATGTCACACATAAGTAATATTTTGCTGAAGATAATAAAAAAATGGTTACACTCAAAGCAGTACATTGACATGGATTTGCCAGACATTTAAGCCAGAGTCCGAAGAGGAGGTGGAACGAGGGCTATCATTGTTGATGTAAGATAGATTTTGACCAAATGCAGAAAATATTGGAAATATATTTATCAGTGTTCCATTACTATATAAAAGCATTCGACTCTGTGGACCATAAAAATTTTTTTGGGTAACATACTACGACGAATGGGAATTCCAGAACACTTAATTGTGTTCATGCCTCTACATTGACCAAGAGGCAGTCATTCTAACAGAATAAGGGTACATTGTGTGGGTAATATCATGAAAGGTGTGCATCTGGGTTGTATCTTTCTACTGTACTTATTCAATCTGTATGCTGAGCAAATAACCTGAAAAGTTGGACTATATGAAGAAGAACATGGCATTAGGATTGGAGAGAGACTCATAAATAACCTGCGATATGCAGATGACACATTTTTGCCTGCTGAAAGCAAAAGGATTTGAGAGACTTGACGTTGAAGATCAAATGTAGCCTTTAATATGAATTGCAGTTCAATGTAAAGAAAACAAAAATCCTCACAACTGAACCAAGAAGTAACATCAAGATAAATGAAGAAAAGATTGACATTGTCAAGGATTTCATTTTACTTGGATCCACAATCAATGTTCATGGAAACAGCAATCTAGAAATAAATGATGCATTGTATTGGACAAATTTGCTGCAACAAATCTCTTTAAATCATTAAAGAGCAAAGATGTCACTTTGAGGAGTAAGGTACGCCTGACTCAAGTCATGGTGTTTTCAATTGCCTCATATCCATGTGAAAGTTAGACAGCGAATAAGGAAGACTGACGAAGAATTGATTCGTTTGAATAATGGTATTGAATATTGTGAAGAATATTGAATATAACATGAGCTAAAAGAAGAATCATTGATGGTGTCAAATGTGGCAGCGGTAGTGAGGTTGGCCCAGGATCAGACATTGTTTCGTTCTGCTGTGCATGGGGTTGCTATGAGTCGGTTCTGACTTGATGGCACCTGACAACAACAACAAAAGAAGAATGAACAGCTCTGTCTTGGAAGAAGTACAACCAGAAATTCCTTAGAAGCAAGAATGATGAGACTTTGTCTCACAAACATTGGACACATTGTCAGGATGAGCCAGTTCCTGGAGAGTGGCATCATGCTTGGGAAAATAGAGGATCAATGAAAAAGAGAAAGCCCTTTAATGAGATGGATTGACACAGTGGTTACCACAACAGTCACAAACATAGCAAGGGTTATGAGGATGGTGCAGGACTGGGCAGTGACTCATTTTGTATGTTGTTATGAGTCAGAACTGACTGGGTGGCACCTTACAATAACAAAATGTTAAGTTATCATTGTTCTTACTTTACAGATGAGAACACTGAGGTTTAGATTTTAAGTAACTCACCCATGGTCCCACTACAAAGAAACAGACTGTCCATGGTGCACAGTCTCTCAATCAATCTCTCTCTTTCTCCTTCTAAGTTTACCTCCTTTAGAAATGCACACACTCATACATACACATACACATTCACCATCTGCTATGCTATAGGGCTAAGTTACTCCCAAGCTATTCCAAACTCTGGGGGAGCGAAAGCCAATGAAGAGTACTTGGTGTGGAGTGGTGTTAGTGGGATCCTTGCCCGGAACTGCAGCTAAGCTCGAACGTGAGCTGGTGGGGGTGCACAAACATTTGCTCCATTCTCCTCTGGAAAGTGGTCCTGATTTGAGGAGTGGGGGAAGGGCAATGAGTGGTTTCCAGGATCATTGAGAGGCTGAACACCCCCAGTCATCTCTTGACCTCCTGACACTTCTCTTTGGTTACAGCTGGCATCCAACTTCCAGTGCACTGCCCGGATTGGTTCAGAGACAGAGGCGCGCTTCATGGCTGGGGAGAGGATACTGCAGTATATGAAGGTGGGGCTCGGGTCAATCCCTCTCTTTCCATGAATCTAGAGTCTTCAGCTGCTTCCTCTCTCCATGTCCCCATCTTTGCCTCCATCTCTGGTGTCGCTGTTTCCGTGGATAGGTTCCTGTATTCTGCTTATGCTTCTTCTCCCTTGATGGTCCTAGGGTCCTCTGTTTCTGGACTGTAAGGTTAACCACTCCCCTGTTTTTGTTACAAAACTTCTACCTTTACAATTGTGACAGTTGCAATTAGTCATGATAACAATTACACACTATTGAATCATAAATATCTTATCCCCATCTCTTTTCACCAGACCCATCTAGACAAGATGGAAACTATTCAGTGGGGACTCTTTCTTTCCCCAAACACTCTTAAACCAAACTCCCTCTTGAACCCTTGTAAGCCAGTCACTTTGTGTCTTTATCACCCATCGTTTTAGATAGCCAATGTCTAAGTTGCCTGTACTTATTTCTTTTTCTTTCTTTAAAAATGAGATGAGTGTCCCTGAGGCTCCTTTGCATGTGGAAGGTGTGAGCTGTGTTCCTGGGTGGCCACAGCATGGGGAAATCACCTTCCAGGATTATCAGATGAAATACAGAGACAACACCCCTATTGTCCTCAATGGCATTAACTTGACAATTCGCAGCCAAGAAGTGGTGGGCATCGTGGGAAGGACAGGCTCTGGTGAGTTGAACGGTGGGGCCAGTCCCTGTCCTAGGCTCTGGCTTTTGGGTGCTGGAGTTATTTTGGGAAATGTGTTCTTTTTGGGGTGGGATGGGGAGGGGAATGTGTTATTGATAAATGTTTATAGGGTCCTTACTCTGTGCTGGGCTCTCCAGTGAGTGTGGTGACCAAAACCCCTAGGTCACTCCTGCCATGGAATTCCAATGGTGAATTCACTGAATGAAAAAATAGCTATGATAAGTGCAGATCATGGTGAAGGCTTGAAGGAAATAGCATGCTGAGTCATGGGGTTGGTGGACTACCTGTGAGGTGATTTGAGTTGAATCCGAAGGGGAGCCCTATAGACCAGGGCAGTGTGCCCATGTGGAGGTCTTGGTGGGGTCTGAGTGATGGGCAGGAAACATCGAGTGAGATCTGGGTCTTTTCTTTTTACCCTTTCCTTCCTTCCCTTTGTAGAACTCTTATGAGCCGCCTTCTCCGCTTTCCCCCTCTGGCCCCATTCTAGCCTCATTTCCTTCCTTTCCCACTTTTGGGAAGTCAGGCAGAAGCAGCATTACTCTGCCTTTTCATGTTGGTCAGACTCGGCCAGGACTTGCTTCCTGCCTCCGGTGAGTGGCTGCACACCGACATTGTGACTCTCACCCCTTGGCTTTGAGAAAGTTGCTCAGACTTGCCCCTCTAGGCAGCACCCTTAATGACTCACATTTTCGTGGGTCGGCTCCTCCTCAGGACCCTGAAAAGCTTGCTCTAGCCCAAGCTGAAGGATTTCCAGATAGCATCTTCTGTGGGTTCTTCCCTTGCTGTTTCTCACTGCCAGTTGGCCTTTGAGGGCTGGGATCTCACTGAGAGAAGCTCTCAGTTCAGTTGACTGTATTCATTCAATAGATGTGAGGGGATTTTAAAAAGTTCATGGGAAAATTCCATTTTTTAAATTCTATTTCTCCATGAACTTTTTCAAGCTCACCTGTATATTGTTGAGCACCTAATATATGCCATGGAGTCCAGGTGTGCTACTGCGGGTTAATGCACTACACTGCAAAGTTGGTTTGAACTGCAAGGTCGGTGATTCAAGCTCACCAGCTGCTCCTCGGAAAGCCTATACAGGGTCATTATGGGCTGGGACCAACTCGACAGCAGTTAACAACTACAATACATGCCAAGAACAGGGAACATAGAAGTTAATAAGACACATAGCTTCTGCCCTCATAGGGAATGAAAATTCAAATGCCTTTGGGGCCTGGCAGGTAGTGAGATGAGCAAGATGGGTCTGGGGTGTGATGGAATGGGTGGGTGTGACAAACAGGACACTGTCCTGTTTGAAGGCAGTGGACACACTTAGTTAGCTCCAACTGCTTGCCTGGGGAGATGGTGCCTAGTGGTGCAGTTCTAAAATTTTTGTAAGTAGGTCTTTGGGATTTTTAATGCTGGAAAGGAGTTTTAAAACAGCACCCACACTGTGTCTGTGAAATAAAACAGATATGTGGACTGGACTGGATACAGGGGCTCTATTTATGACCTACGATGCAAGCTACAAGAAAACTGTTCATAGTTTGGTCACTACTTAAAGCAGGCATACCAGCCTTCTCCGTGGTCACAAAGATAAAGAATGGGTATTGGAGGGGAGTGGATGCCATGTATGACCTGTGTTGTCCTTTCTATCCTGACAGGGAAGTCCTCCTTGGGAGTGGCTCTCTTTCGCTTGGTGGAGCCCACAGCAGGGCGGATTCTCATTGATGGTGTGGACATTTGCAGCATTGGCCTGGAGGAGCTGAGGTCTAAGCTCTCGGTTATCCCTCAAGATCCCGTCCTGTTCTCTGGAACCATCAGGCAAGTGCCAGGCCAGATGCCTTGATGGGTTAGTGATAGAATTCTCACCTTCCTGTGGGAGATGTGGGTTCAATTCCTGGCCAATGTAACCTTGTGTACAGCTACCGACTATCTATTGGAGAGGCTTGTGTGTTGCCATGTACTAAACAGGTTTCAGTAGAGCTTCCAGGCTAAAATGGATTGTTGTTGTTGTTGTCAGGTGCCATCGAGT